AGGAATGCTACTCCATTACTGGAATACACTCGTTTTGGTACCCACACTTAACTTTTCATTATCCTCTTTGGGAACTACCCAGAAAAGAAATGCGGGGAAGTGAGGTCTGAACTCAATCTATTATTTATCCAAGGAAATATAAAAGGGGTGGCCTTAGTGAGAAGGAAACAAGGAGGGGCAGAAAGTTCCTTCACCCATGCAGGGATATTGGTGCTACTAGCCAAATGGTAATATGAGAGGTACATTTTTAAGCCTTTTTATAAGTATACACAGATAGCTCATACACACTTGTGTGAGGATTCATAGCAAATGGTAACTGAATGGCCACTGCAGGACTGGACTGTTTGCTCTATCAACTGCTGTATGGACTGTTTGCTTTATAGACATTTATGGCCACAAAATGGTTCAGCTTCCAGGTCCATGAAGTCTTTGGGCTCCCTTGTGACTTTTAAGGAAAGTATTAACTGTGATAGGTGGTTTTGAAACGTGGACTTCTGTAATAGGGACGTCATCTAGACTAATATGAACATACGAAGGTCCCACATGTCCCTAAAACTAAACCCCTGCATTATTCATTCTCACAGCATTATTAAAGTTCTGCTTTTTCTATTTAATTCCAAAATTAACAGTGTCTCCTTCATTCCTTCTAAATTTGTGTACAAAAGACACAAACTTTTCACAAGAGCCACAATTGTTTTCATGAAGCAGACCTAAATAGATGAACAGTTTAGTCCTTTAATTAGTTAACAGGCTAGAGTAGTATTTTCACAAATATCTACGGGTCAGATTTTAAAGGTGCATAGTAGGATTTTCAGAAGTCCTTACCTCCCCATTGAAATCGTTGAAGGTTAGGTGCTTAAGTGCTTCTAAAAATCCCACTAGGCATTGGTTTGATCTTTTGGCACCCAGATCCCTTTAAAAAATTGTCCCTTAGTGATTGAGTGTCGGTCCCATTCATATCAGTAAGTCTTTCATTTATGTACTTTTGAAAATCTTATGCCCCACTGTAAATAGCAGTGGTTCTTCTACCTGGGGCATGATTTGGGTAAGAACTCCATACTGCAGTGAGGAGACAATGTTTCGCTTATCTTGCTATCCCAAGAGGGCCCGTAGATGATAGATGTTTTACCAGTGAAACACTAGGGTTTTCCTTAACACACTTGCACCAAGCTACAGAACTTCTCGTTACTTCATTTGAGGATCTTTGTTAGTTTTTACTAACAAAGTCTAACTGGTAGTCATCTTGGACTCGCTCTTTAAAGACCTAGAACGCATTCTTGACATGCATTATAGGCAACTGTAGCTCAAAGGCTCGTTTTAATGTTATATCAGTTATAAACAGTAAAAGCTGTAAAATCTGGCTGTGGACATAATGTTTTAGGGACTTCCTGAGTCATAAATACTTGAATAATACAAATTAAACATCACCTTTAAAAAAAAAAAAAAAAAAAAAGTTGTTAATATGCGTTTACTACCATGGTAGCATGAACAATTTGTAAGCAACATAATCTTTCCTAGCAAAGGATGCTCAGAAGGTATACTGATTGTAAGTTATAAAAAGTATAGTTTGTAGAATTTATATTGGCTACTGTTTTTGTCTCCTTTCTTCCCCTACCAGGAGACCTCTGTGTTGTGTCCAAGTTTTCTGGCCACTTGATTAATTACAGGTTCAATCAATAGGTACAAATGATAGAGTTTGACCATCTAACTGCATGTTTTATAGATGCAAATAATAATCATGTTCTTAAATCAAGTAGTTCCAATTTAGAGAAGTATTATTCATGTGCTCAAGCGTGTACCCCTTGTGTTTACTAAAATTAGGCTCTGCATCTTTAATCGTAGAACTGTACATATTTTGAAACATTCACTTGTATGGAAACTCATATTTAACAGTTTCATGGGGTTGTTTCTTTGGAACTAAAAGTGTTTCTCAAGAGCCTTTTTTTCTATCAGTTCTCAGTGAAAAGAGGAGAGCAAAGCCATCCGCTTACCACAAAGCAGTGCCACCACAAAGGAAAGATTAAGGGTTTAGAGAGAGGTCAATGTGGGTTTTTCTCTAACTAAACACTTTCCTAAAGTTTCCTTGTGGAAAAAATAATGAAGTCATCTAAGAGTTTTTAAAGAATTTTTATTTCTTTTTCACCGTCTGCATTCGCTTGTCTTCTCAGCATGGATGTTTAATCTTTCTAGGCTTTGTGAATTGGTCCAAATGAATAAGTGGTGAGCTGTCTCTCTAGGAGCTAGAGGCTTATTCTAAGGCCCTAATCACTGAGTAAACACATCTTTGCCCTCCCTCTCTTACAACTGCTATATAATAGTTGAGATTCTAGCACAGTAACCTGGATATTGCAGGGATCGACGCTTTGAAATGCAGAATGGCTGATCCTCAAAAACAGACAGTGCCTGATCTTCCCTTGCCTCTTTCTTCTTTTTAAATTAAATATCACCACAGAGATGGTGTTTTATTGCTTGATATTGTGCATTAGTGCCCTGGATTTTCAAGTTTAGTTTCAGTCAACATTGTTGGCTGCACTTATATGGAACTCTGCATGTTAGGCTTATTAATGGCCTTTCCTGACACATATGTACTTGGTTCTGAAGAACATTCAAATTAAATCAGACAAACATTAATGTGAATTACTAATCCTTTTCTCAGAGTCTGATGTTCAAATGTATTCTTCTTTTTTTCAAACGGACATTGTTAAGCTTTCCCCAGAGCCAGCGTATTAGGTTACAGAAATAAAATTACCTGCTTCAGATTTTACGCAGCATGCCTTAATATATTAGGGCTGGGTACCAGATCAAGATCCAGTTGAAAATGTTACTTCCACTGGATGGAATTGAAATGACTGTATAAAGCAAGTTGCATGTGGAAACACCAACGCTTACCACGTTTGTCTTCTCAAAATGGATGTTTTAGTAGTATTTTAAATGATGTCCCTAAGAGTCATTGTTCTGGATTATTTTCTTTTGCTTTTTTAAAAATTACGCGCTTGATTAATTAAAGTACCAGATAGAAGTGTATGAGCCTTTCTGTGACTCATCTTTTCCCCTGATTCTTCTCTTATGTACATGTAGCATGACCAGTCACTTCCCAACATGTGGTCTGCTGCTTTTATAGATAGGATGCACAGTTCCCTTCTTGGCTACCTTCAGGTCGAACTCGGGTATTAGTTGATGGAACAGCATGCAGATGTGTGACTCTGTCCTCTGCAACCAAAATTAATCTCTAAAATTAGTCTGGATTTTTGCAAAATGGGCATCATTATTGTTCTCAAACTTTTGTATAACCAGGAGCCAGGGAAACGAGAAGTCATTGTCATTTAGTTATCTGATTGTTTACAAATGAGTTAACGTAGTATTCTCAAGAAAATGTTTCGATGGAAGGCATGTTTTACATATAGGACAACTAGACTGAATGTCATCTTTACAAGCCAAAAAATTATCTCATTCTGAAAAATAAATGTGAGCTAGATGTTCCTTGGTATGCATATTTCAGGAGGCTGTCAAATGTTTACTACAATTAATTTTGTTTAAATAAGCTTTTTATTTTTTCATTAAAATTCATATCTTTAATATTAATCTACTGTAAAGATCTGTTAAATTACTTTTTTTGGCATCTGAAGAAAACTTTACACTGTTCTTGGATTTTGAAAGAGGGTGTGGACTTAAAAATATATATATTTGTGCATGTGTTGGAGGGACAGCTTGACTTGAATTGCGAGAATTTGACTTTTCTTCTGTTTTACTCTAAGCTGGATGAAAGAAATGCATTGGTTTGTTATAGAAACGTTTGTACAAGTGCAGAGAGTGACAACATTGTGCACACTTACATATACGCGTGTCATAGAAATTTTAAGTTCCTAAAAAGACTTCTTACACAGGTATTTTCATTGATCAATATTTTCTCCTGTCTTTGCAGAGAAAGCTTCTTGCTATCTACCTCCATCACGATGAAAGTGTACTAACTAATGTGTTCTGCTCACAAATGCTTTGTGCCGAATCTATTGTTTCATATCTGAGTCAGAACTTCATAACCTGGGCATGGGATATGACAAAAGAAGCAAACAGAGCAAGGTAATACAGTCCTGAGTTGTGAGCTGGGCTGCTTTTCTCTATAGGAAGCTTGTAATCTCTGTCTAATAATGTTTTGGTGCTGGTGTTTGCTTAAAAAAAAAAAGGAAAGCCCTGCTATGCTTTTAGCAGATCAGTGGAGATGTGCTGATCTGTGCCAGCTGAAAACACTAGTCCTTATTTTCATTATAAGGTTATTTGTTACCACCGTATGTTAGGGGAGAATTAGTTTACTACAATTTACTTCATTACAGACTTCTTTTCTCATGTTTACTTTGAAAGCAGAACGCTAGAAACCAAGTGTCCAATGTTTTGTGTTGGATTGCTACCGAGAGTCAGCCGCACCAGTTGCTTGACTGGGAGAGAGGAGCCCGCTGGACCGGCAGAGGTGTCCTATCATAATTATTGTCTTTGTTACTGAAAACTTCATATCGTAAATACATATGTTTACATGCAAACACATTTCAGTTCATCCGTAGAAGCTAATTATAATGCTAGTATAGGGAGCAATTTATAAATTAAAAAGCTAGTCATTCATTCGAGTGATATGGAATAAACAGTTTTATAACTTTTTTTTGGTATTGATCAAAAATCACAGTGCAAATATAACATGTATTTATCATTTACCTTGTGTCTTACAAAATAAAAAATTAATAACTAAGGAAATCGTACATTTTAGGCCTTTCCACCAAGGTGGGTGACCTATTCAATTCTAGTATAGATTAAAGGATAAAAATAACTTTTATCAAAGATTTTTTTTTTATGCCTTCAGCAATCCATAACAATATTTTCCTCCTTTTAGATGTTGGATTTAAACAGGGGTACATTTATTTGGTCAGTTGATTATATTGTCTGTATCAGTGATTAACAGGTTTTGAAATTGGACCCATTTGGATTTCTAATATGAACTTTATTTTGTTATTTGACATGCTCAGGTAATTCATTTGCCATAATGGTGTTTTGTGTGTAATAATGTAATGTAATTAATTTTGCTGCTTGGTGAGCAAAAGAGGATGCATCAGTTTAAAGGCACCTTCATTGTTTTTTTTCTTCATTCAAGTGATACTTGAACAGTGAGAAATCATCCAGATTTGTGTTCTTATTACTCTGTGCTTTAGTATTAGATGGATTTCAGTCTGTATTTGCACATTTTCATTTCTGAAACATGTAAGATGTATTATTTTTTCAGATGAAGGACAAGAGCAAAATTATCTGATATATCCTGTTTTTAAAAAAATCTTAAAAAGATAAATTGCACATTGTCATTATTGCAATAAAACACCCTTTAAATTCCTCTTGTTTAAAAAAATTATTTTAGTTTATTAATAGATAAAAGGTGATGAAGAGCAGTGCCAAAAGAGATAAAAATGAAGCATCCAGGGTCTTTCATGAGGCCAAATGCATAGACTGGAGACTTGGTTAAATCTTTTGGTATTGCCATTCATTGGCAGTAAGGAGCCTCCTCCTTTGCTTTTATCCCACAACTTAATGTAGAAGGAAACACTATTTCTAAACCATCTGTAGTGGCTAAGTTCAGTTGGCTACCTGCTGTTATATTGTTCTGTTCTCCATTTAATTCTCTAGTTTCTTTTATTTTACAATGACAAAAAATTGCAGTGTAGTTTCTTTTGAAAAACTGTGTTTGAGGGGTTTTTATGACTGACAATCAACAGCCATGTAATTGCTTTGTTGTGTTTTACTAAAGAAATCTATTAAGTAGCACAACTTTGATACACTAGTAATAAGAGTTTGCAGGTTACAGAGACACCTGTGGTGACCAAAGCGACAGAAGCTGCTTGTTAGAAAGAGCCGGTACAGCTGTGTCCTATTAACTCCTTATGACACTTTTTAAAACACAAAATAAAGGGCTTGTTTAAGGCTTTATAGCCGTTCTCAATGAATCTAGTCGCTGATTGTGTCCTACGATAGGATTCTTAAGCCTTCATTTTTTGCTTTCTATTTACAACAACAAAGAAACTGTTATATTAACAGTGAGATTTTAAAATAGTGAGGGGTAAACAAGACATTTCAGTACAAAATAGCATGGGTCTTCATTTGTGTTTAATGTTACATCTTGATCTTTGTGGGAGGGACTTCACCTTCTTTTCCTGTTTGGGAAGTGCCAACACAGTATGGGCATTCCCTTAAATAAATAAATGCTGATTAGTGCCACTGTTTAACTACTACATTGTGATAGTTATATATGAAAAATAGAAAACATTTATTTGGGAAACAATTGTGGACATTGATCTGATGTTGTTCATTTCTAGAAATACACTTGCAGCATTTTAACTAGAAGAATAAAACACATGCTATCTGATCTTAGTGCTTATAATAGTGGAAAACTACTGTGATGGGAAGGAGAGTTAGGCTCCATTTATTTGCTGATCAATTAAATATAATTCTGACGTACACCTCAACTCTAGGCATGCCATCGTGTAGTAAAAAGAAGGTTTTCAGTGCTCTTTTATGAGTAATTTGGTGTGGAGAAAGGGTTTCAATTAAGCTTAAATCTTTTCATCATCTAGGCAGAAAAAAGGTGCATCCTTGCCTGAAATACTCTGTTTTTCTGTTCTGTTCTCCCCAGTTCTCATTCTCTTTAAAGGTTGGGATCACTGGTACAGACCCCCTGATTCTGTGCAACGTCCTAGTGGAGTAAATTAGGATCCGAAGTGGACAAAGAGGCCCATGCTAGCAGATTGCACTGTAAGACAGAGGCCTAAAGCAGAACCAGATCACAATACAATTAAATGTCTCTTGTGTGAAGACTGAGCAGATTGTGTTACTAATGCCCATTACTATTGGTACCAGATAGACCTCTGAAAATATTAACTTTCAGGCTCAGCAGCAGTCATACTGATGGGGTAGTCTCATAGTATAGTAATTTGTGTGCTGTACGCACCCAGCTATGTGAGAGAGACAGAATCAAAAATGTTGTCAGCTATTGAGAATGAAAGTGTATTACTGCAGTCTTTCCTTGTCAACGATGCAAATTATCACAAGGGTTTTAATTATTTTTCGAGGCTGAGTCCAAGCCAGAAACAACGTAACATTCCTAGACTTTCTATTAATCATCATAGATTGTTTCAGTAATACGTTCAATTAATTTTTAACAAATCTGGTCCATTTGGAATCCTGTGAAAAAAAGAAAGAGCTTCACAATGCTGAGACGTTTCACAGTTGTTTTTAACAACATTTTTCAGTCAGCTGTAAAAGGTGGATGCGCCTATAGCCGTGGATGGTCTAAGTCTAGCAGGGTTCACTATCTTACAGAGCTGGATGCTTTTGATCCATCTATTCAGCACCCACTGGAGTAGGTCAGTGAGCCTCTCCTAATTGACTTCAATAAGAGCAGAAGTAGGACCTGTGAGCACAAGGGCTGGGTGGTCACTGTTACTTTCATTGACACAGAAATCACGTCATTAGACACTTTTTTTTTTTCTAAATGCACCTACATATAGAAGCAAACTTCCTCAAGCCCAGAACACACCAAAAGGATACAGACCGTGCCATGACAAGAAATGCAAAACCTGCCAACACATCTTCACCACCCCCACAATTACTACATCCCACAACAGAGCCATCAGCATCCCTGGATCTCACAGCTGCACCTCCAGAAATGTAATATATCTCATCCAATGCACCAAATGTCCTGATGGAAAATACGTAGGAGGGACCAAACAACAACTGTGCACCAGAATGAATGCACACCGGAAATCTATCAAAGACAGAAATACCCAGTTACCGGTGGGGGCACATTTCTCACAGGAGGGCCACTCTCTCCAATCTCTCAGTCCTGATCCTCAAGGGAAACTTATACAACACTTCCCAGAGACGAGCCTATGAGCTCCATTTCATCAAACTCCTGGATACTAGAGATCATAGACTAAACATAGACATTGGATTTTTGATACATTATAATCTGCCTGGCAACTGACTCCCCAGCCCAGCCCCTGGTTTCTTTACTTTTCGTTCCATCCAGGAAGAGCGCATACCAACTGCTGACGCTTCCTTAGCCTGACGAAGGGTTTTTGAACTCGAAAGCTTGCTTAATAACTATTCTCCAACCATTTGGGCTGGTCTAATAAAAGATATCAAATTCACCCAAGGAACCTTGTCTGCCTACATATAGACAGCTTTTTTGTCAACTAGGGTAGTTATAGCTGGACCAGGTAACTACATCAGTTGAGTGTCAAAGCTGCTAATGCCTCTGATATGAAATGCGCAAGATATCAGGCTCTTTTTTTCAAGCAAATATTGCAAATTTTGTTTTGATGCTGATATATTTGTCGGAGATTTGCTGTAAAGTTTCTCGTAAATGGTAAGAGTAGTGGAATAAAATGAACAGAGTGTAAGGTGTAAAATAATTATTAACTAAATTAATTTAGAAAATGTCTAGTATTCTTCTTCTTTGGCAATCCCTTACAGTTGAGGTTGATTGTCTTCCATGATTGTCTTATCTGTGTGGCCAAAGATGAGGCCTATCTGGGATCGGCAGACTTTACTACAGCTCGGATATGTGTTTACGTGTAGGGTGGGCGATACTGAATTCTTGATTTGGACTGTGACGCACTGCTTCTGCTGCTCCCACTTGTCCATCTCCTTTGGTTGTAGTGAGCTTTCAAAGTACTGAGATCCTTGCAGCAGACTTTCTCCATTTGGGGCGATCCTGGGCGATAGTCTCCCATGAGTTGACATCCAAGTTGCATTTTTTTTAAGTTGGCCTTGAGGATGTCTCTGAAGCACTTTCTTCCCTCCTCTTGAACTTATGCTTTGGCTGAGCTGGGAGAATAAAATTTGCTTTAGGAGTCTGGAATTGGACATCCGGAAGACATGGCTGGCCTAGTGAAGTTGATGCTGAATGATCATTGCCTCAGTACTCATGCCATTTGCTTACAGGAGGATGCTAATGTTGGTGCATCTGTCTTCCCACTGGATTCAGAAGATCTTCTACAGGCAGCGTTGATGTTTCTTCTCCAGCAACTTTAAATGTTTCTTGTACG